ATTGCCTCTGTCCATCACTCCCCCAGACGCTGATTCCCTCTGCAAGAGCTTCACACATGGGCCAGAGCTTGGCTGCTGGTGGGGCTGGCACAGCCGAACCTGGCTGGCAGAAATACTCCCTTTGCCTGTGCTCTAACCTTGGTTTTTTTTCTTTCCCCCCTCAGGTTTCCTTCCACCTGTATTTTCCAGGGGAAGGGCAAGGCCCCTGGCCAAGGTGTCTGCAATGAACCACGGTCAGGGCTTTTTCCCTATTGCGTGATGCTTTCCCCCCATTTTGCAGCACTTCCTCCCCATTGCCCAGTATTTTTTCCCCCATTGCCCGGCGTTTTTTCCCCCATTGCCTGGCGTTTTTTCCCCATTGCGCAGTGTTTTTTCCCCCCGCACGGCGTTTTTCCCCTCTTTGCACAGCTGCCGTGGCTCCAAACACCCTAATGCAAAGCAGGGGGGTGGGACCCCCCCACGCTGGGGCAGCAGAGCGGAGCCGTCCCCTCCCCGGGCCGAGCGGGCGCCCGCTCCGCTCCCTCCTGGCGCCCAGAATAACCACCGGCAAAGGCCGCGCACGTGGCCGCGCGGGTCAGCAGCTCAAAATAGCCGCCCGGGCAGGGGGGGAAGCCGCCCGCTCCGCCGGTTCCAGCGCTCCCTCCATCCCCGCTCCGGCAGCGGCAGTGCCCAGGGCCGGGCACCTTGCAAAGGGGCCTCTGCATTAAGGAGCCCGATCCTGGATGCCCATCCTATGTGTCCGGGGACATGGGACGTTTCCTCGGAGGGTTGTTCCTGCTCCAATGTGGGTGACAGCTGCTCTGCACCAGGGTGAAGGGGGCGGGAAAGACCGTTCCCGGGAAGCATCCGTGCCCAGGCTGTTCGGGTGTCTGTCGCTATGGAAACCCCTTCTCGCGGTGTTGTTCCAAGTGTGGTGCCTGTTCGCACCCTCGCTGGCCCTGGGTGAGGGGGGTCCCGGGAACCCAAGGCCGGGGCTTCTGCGGGATGCAGAGGGATGGGCTGGGGGCTCCCCGCCCAGCAGGGTTGAGGTGCAGAAAGACTCCACAGGGAATGGCTTCTTTATTCCACAATTTTTTTTTTTTAAATTGGAGATTGCTGAGCACTATGGAGGTCTGTGGGAAAGATGATATGGGTCCTGAGGGTCCCATGGGCAGCACCTCATCCGGTGGCAGGCAGGAAAGAGCAGGCTCTTCCTCGGCAGGGGAGGGAGCGCGATCCGCATGGCCCGTCCCCCTCGGCCACCTCCACAGCTCCGGCCGCTGCCTTCATGCAGAGTGACAGCACGATGTTGTTAACATCTTCCAGAGACACTCTGAGCCCAAGCAGAAATGCTTTTTTCCTTTAATATTTAAAGCATTTTTTTTAACACGCGTGCATGCAGAGATGCTCCTGCTCTGTCTTGCACAGGAGATGAGACCTCCCTGCCCAGCAGACGGCAGCTCCCAGATAACGGGCTGGGATGAGCTTCGTCCCGGACAGCCCTGGCTGTGCTGCTGACACCGAGCTGGGCCTGTGTCCCGCACCGCTCCTGGCAGCACCGGGAACACAGCAAAAGAGCTGGATGCGGAGCAGCGTGCTGCACAGGCCAGGCTCTCTCCCTGGTCATCCTTCCCAAAAATTCCATGCAGCTCCCTTCCTGGTGAGGCTGGGCTCAACCCACCTGATGCTGCTTCCGAGGGCAAGGAGACAGTGCGGGTGCCAAGGAGATGCCAGACGCGGCCTTATTCTGTGCCAAAAGGGAAAAGCTTTTTTCTCCCTCTGGCAGGTGAGTGCTGATACGGGGGCTGAGGAGGAGACGGGAATTTACACGTCAAGGTCTTCACATCAAAGCAATCCTCAGACGGAGGCTCTCTAGCTGGAGAGACAAGCTGTCAGTGGGTGTTTGCGTTCCTCAACACGCCAAAGGATGTTTTAAAGCAATTGCTCCTGCACACGCACACACACACAAAAGAGAAATGAAAAAACAAACACCGATTTCTCCCCATTTCTTCTCTCTTCCCCTCTCATCTCTGCAGCACGTCCCCCCAGCAGGAGCTTCTCGTACGTCCCATTCGTGACCGTTCCTGGATCATTTGTGGTGATGCTCCACATTCCCGCCCAGGCTGGGGAGCAGGCGGGAGGTGACGGGGACAGTGTCACCCCCGGGGTGACAGCCCAAGGCCGGGCCGCTGGGTGCCCCCAGGTCCCAAGGGCGCACGGCGCTGGCCGCTCGCCCCGTGCTGGCCGTGCGCCCCGGCCGCGCCGCGGGATCCCTGCCGTAATTACAACAGGCAGAAGCACACAGGGACGAGGCTCATTCACCACCGGTTTTTAAAGCATTTAGCGCAGCAGAAGGCTGTGTTTCTGCAGGCAATATGCTCTGCTTGCGCTGTCACCCCACCAGAAGGTCTGGGGAGGGACAGGCCGGGAGCCTCCCGCTGCGGGACAGCCCTGGCCAAGCATTTGTCCCCAGTCACGGGAGGAAACCGGCACGAGACGAGCGGCCTCCGTGGCACCGGAGGCAACTGGCACCGGCGGCGGGTTGTACGCGGAGCCAGCAGCACGCGGCTCCCCGGCCTCCTCGCGCTTCCCCGAGGCAGAGCGGAGAGCAGATGGCTTGGGGAGGCTGTCAAAATATTGGGAGTTTCTTTCATTTCCTTTTTTAATACAAACATTTCTAAAGCGCTGGAAGTAGATCTAGGAAAGTTTCCGTTTGCAGCTCCTGCTGGGAGCCAGGGCCAGCCCGGGGCCGCCGGCGGAGCTGGATGGAGCCTGGGGAGGACCCGCTGCTCGGAGCCAGCCCTGCCGAGCTGCGGTCCTGTTCCAAGGGCCTCTCTCCTGGGCATGACAAAGCGCGTGTCCACTCTGGAGCAATGGAGCTGGAAGGAGGTTTTCCAACGTTCGCGTGGCAATGGGAGCCGAGGGGCGGGGAAGAGTGGGATGTGAAGCACACAGGTCCCACGCGGCACCGCGAGGAGCTGAGAACGAGGTGAGCAAGGGCTTCCCTGGCCAGCTACAGCCGCAGGATCCGTCCTGGTGACCTCTACAGCTCCACATTGTCCCGTCTGAGCTGGCCTGGGAAGGCCCCTCGAGATATGACAAGAAGCCCCCAGCACCATGTGGGATGCCACGAGAAGGTGCCAAAGGTTTAGCATGGACATGCCTCTGTTTCCCCTTCCTTCCCTGGCTCCTGGCTTTCCAGGTCCATGGAGGCTCAGGCTTGGCGCCCCGGAGCGGGCCGGAGCGCGGGCTCCGAGCACACAGAGCAGCTCCCTGATCGATACGGAGGGCAGTGAATCCCTTAATGAAATCTCAGCCTAAGAGACTATTGATTATTTGCTTTAAAAATGTATATGAATGGGAGAGAGGCTTTCCGAAGGAGGACCTGGGGAAGGAGGGAGGAGCACGGAGATGGCCCAAACCCTCCAAATTAACCCTCCAGCCCCCCCAGGGGAAAGAAGGATGTTGATCCGCAGATCCCAGGGTGGATGTTTACCTCAAATTGTATAACCAGGCCCAGGGGCGGCTCCGGGCAGTCGGTATCTGTGGCCGCGAGCCAGGGCTCTCCCCCATTTGGGAAGGAAGAGGATGGTCCCCAGCAGCTGGGGAAAGGAACAGCAACCAACGTGTCCCGTCCCGTCTCCCTGTCCCCCAGGGACCCCCCAAACCAGCCTGTCGTCGCCCTCCTCGCGCCACCGTCACCCTCCTAATCCGACAGGTGCTTTGCACCGGCGAAAAGGGGGATTTGCTTCTCCCGTAAATCCTTATTTTTGGTGAGTCATCCTTATCCGTGGCCCGGGAACGCCGGGATCGGGTGCCAAGGGCAGCGCGGTGCCGGCCGGAGGGTGCTGGGGTGCCAGGGCCAGTTCCCGCGCMCCCCCCCCCCCCATGAACCCCAAGGGTGCTCAGGGTCCCTCCTGTGAGACAGGGGGGTTGTCGCCACCCCCAAAAACACCAACGGGGGGGAAAAATGCGGAGGGGGGGGCGCGGGGGG